AGGTAGTGTCACTAAATATTCTAATAAAGATATTTTGGGCAGTCAATAGTTTTTCAAGATAAGAGATATTTATAAGAAATAGTTCATAATAATAGTAACAATGATATAGATAAGTGTATTACTTACATGCATAGATGCATTTTTGTAAAGTACTAATCCGTCATGCTTTTGCTTTCTTTTCTTTTCACAAAATTTCTTTGTCAGTAAAATAAAAGTACATGAAAAACATTTTCAATCAAAGAATCATTAGGATATCTTTGTTTAAAATAACTCAAATGTAGTTACCATTGAGAATGAAGGACACAACATTTATTTTACATGTGAACAGGTATGGTTGTTGGGGAATTTGCTTCACCTATGGCACATGGTTTGCAGTGGAGGGGCTGGTAGCTTGTGGGAAAAACTACCAGAATAGTCCTACACTGCGTAGAGCTTGTGAGTTTCTTCTATCAAAGCAACTATCAGATGGTGGATGGGGAGAGAGTTATCTCTCAAGCACAACCAAGGTGTGAAATTTTGTTTCAATTCTGCCTCGACAGTAATGTACCTATTCCATGCTATAGTTTACACATGTGATGACAGTGGTTGAGAAAGGAGATTCTTTATTTTGTGGGAAAGAATGGGACTGTGAGATTGAATTCTATCTGAGATCTCATTTTGTATTTGTTGTGCCAGGTGTGGGCTAATATAGAAGGAAACAGGTCGAACTTGGTTCAAACGTCCTGGGCTCTATTATCACTCATTGATGCTGGACAGGTAAATTTTGTCGTCATAATCCATACTATTACCTAGCTATATGAGCAGCTGTACACTTGCCTAGAAACAAATTTCAATTTCTTTATGGCCAACACCCATCCCAAGCACGCATCTACGGGACTCGTGGCCTTTATATAAATTTGGGACACACACAAACCCCTAGAAATCACGTGACTCTTATGAGACAAACTTGATAGCACGAGTAATTAATCATTGAAGTCTGGCCATTGGAGCTATCTGACAAGTTAACACATTTGACTATGCGGAGGGATAGATGATGACTTGGGAACTGAGTGAGATTTGAGCGTTGTCAACTTGCTATGCTACCAGCGAAAATCATCTTTAATTGAAATCGTAGAAAAATATGCAAGATTGATTTTGATGCTGAGTAGTTGCAAAGTTACCTAGAATCCATAGGTCGATTTAGTATGAGGTATGAATACATGCACATTGTACTTTCTCTGGTACGCGATATGATGGGTTAGACTGAATTGGTACAATGCTTTGGGTTGTGATTCATTTGAAAGCTCTTATTTAGATTGTTTTCATTACGATGTGGAATTATATATAATTGTACATTCACACACACGAACAATTTTGTTTTATATTTTTTATCAGTATCCTATTATCACAGAAGTTATTTATAATTATATGTTCACACACGAAGTCAATTCGTAATCAATTGAAATTTGTTTTATATTTGTGATACAATTTTCAAAGCGAACCAATTAGTGATTGGGGTTACAATTTGGAGTCAAAAATTTAGGTGACCTGTATCACCAATTCACTCTGTTTTTTTGGGGTTGTTGCACCTAGATCGTGGGTCATCCGGATTGAGCGATTTCTGATAACTGTGTGCAGTTAGTGTGAACAAAACAACATTTTTTGTTTGTAACTGATAATCATTCCAACTGCACATCTTTTATACTTGTGATTACAGCTTTGCAGCGTATACTGGATGCATATAAGTCACACACAAACCCTGCACATTAGGAAGCTGTGGCTTCCTTGCAAAACTCAAACTTAGGATTTCAGGTTTTTTACCCCTTCTCATCCTCACGGGTTGAGAAAAATAATAGTAGTGTCACATCTCAAACATTAATAATGATCGTATTCATCTTACTGAGTGACAAATTAAATTGATCAGGTTGCATGTATGCTAAGTTTGATGGGTCATAGAAGAGTCACATAATTATGACTGTTATGAAAAATAACATGTTAGCCATTGCATGCATGCAAGTATCTCACCTTTTTTAGCAGATGTTGCCTGTGAACTCAGATGCTTGTGTTAGACATAACAAGACACCAAGGATCAGCCTTGTGATAGTTGAAATAACAAATATATTTTATGGTGCCAATCAGATTTAGGTTTTGGAATAATTTCTTTACTGTTAAATGTTGCAAGATAGCATTCCATTTAGTACTATGGGGTGAAGAATTTATAGAGCCCAAAATTGAATAAAATTAGAGTACGTATCTCTCAAGTACAGCAGTAATATGTCTAACAAAGTAGGTAGGAGTGATATATGGGTTCCCTTACTTCCTCGAAGGTGGACTAATGTATGAGGAAGCAGCACACACACATATGCATACAACATTTTCCTGACTTTGAATGTTTCCTTGACATTAGACTGAAGTTGATCCAACCCCAATACATCGTGGATTGAGAATCTTGATAAATGCACAAATGGAAGATGGAGACTTCCCGCAGCAGGTAATGAACTATAACCTCTTTTAGGTTTTCCATTTTTATTCCTTCTAATAGGGGATGAACTCTCCTTATATTGTAGTTGATAAAAAAATACTAGTATTTCAACGTATGTGGTACTTGTTTCAAATCGCACACATTTTGAATGATTGTTGTTTAAATGCAGGAAATCACAGGAGTGTTCATGAAAACCTGTACCTTGAATTATTCATCATACAGAAATATCTTTCCTATATGGGCTCTTGGTGAATATCGTCAGCGGATTACGTGTACATAAATCTGTAGATGTCGAGAATAAGGGATGGATTGCTGTAGTTTTTCCTTTAAAGAATAAAGACTGAAAGTAGATCGATATACCTTACACGATTTTCCACATTTGCTACGCATGCCAGATCCCTACATGTAGATTATGTCATAAGCATTTTCTCAAAGCATTTTTCTTCATGATTAAATTAGTAAATGACAGTGCCATGCACGGGATAATGTATATCTCAATTTGACATTGATCAATTATCTTGACATATAGATGTCTTTCACACTATACTCTTACCTCTTGAATTTGATTTCTATGTAAAGGGCCAAAAGAAGTGGTACTCTGCTGTGTAAAAACTTGGAGCATCTCTCTCTCACTCTCTCTCTCTCTCTCTAGCATTATTTTTTTTTTGGGGGGAAAGGGGAGAAGTGAAGGGAAAGGGGAACTTGAACCCTTAACCTCAAAAAGACAAATCCTTCGCAAGGCAGGAAGTACAAGTCTCTCTCTCTCCCCCAACATTGTTCATGTGTAAACCTTCCTAGTAACACGAATGCAACTTGGTCTTGACTAGTGTGACAGGCGGGAGAATTCTTGGTACATGGGGTGAATTCAAGATACATTAATTCTAGCATTGGGTACTGAGCACCAATTTTAATTTTTTTTTGTAATAGAAAACCATCCTCCCACAGGGTTCTTCGGACTAATGGTTACAACACAAAACTCGTATGAAAGTACTTTATTCATCACGTGCATTAGTTAAACTTGAATTTTATGTGATCAGAATAAGTTAAGATGTGGGTAGTTTCCAAAAAAAAAAGAGAAAAAGAAAAATGCTTCTTAAGTGCATAGGAAGCACAAAAGGACTTTAAAAATTCAAATTAAAGTATGGGGTATGGGGTAATCTACTTTCAGTTTTATCACTTCTAGTTTTAGGGTACTCTTTTAATTTCAATGGTGATAGGTTAGACATATTAGTATGTGGTATTGTATTTGGACATGGTTTTCTTATGGATGGTTTCTTTGAAGTTGATATGGTTGATTTTGTTCCTTATATTCTTATGTGGCTAATGTTGATAAAGATTCTGATTCTGTTATCAAACATGCTAGACTAGGACATATAAGACATGATAGGATAACCCGATTAGCTAGAGAAAGCCTTTTAAGCTCACTCGCTAAAGTCAACCTACCTATATGTGAGTTTTGTTTGGCCGGTAAAGCATGTAGAAAGCCTTTTACAAGGCTGTTAGAGCTACTCAGCCACTAGAACTTATCAACTCCAATATTTGTGGACCATTGAATGCGAAGGCACGTCATGATGTCTCTTATTTCCTTACCTTGATAGATGATTTACATGTGATATGGATATATTTATTTGATAGCTTACTGCTGTGAAGCATTCGATTGTTTTAAACGTTTAAAAGCAAGTGCATAGCTGACATTAACTTGTTTAAGGTAAGTTAATGGCCTCTAACCCAATAAAACATGGTAAGATGCAAATAGTAGACGATCTTACACCCAAAATAGATTTTTTACCCTTCCAAACAATCATTTTCTCGTTAAGGTAACGGATAATCTCAATAAACTTCTGCAATATAATTAAGAATAATTTTGTCACGGACTCTTTAATCTTGTCCACTAAAAGAAAATTGCTAAAAAAATTATCATAGACTAAATCAAGTATAAACGATTATTGAGATTTAAAGGAAAAATTATTCCTCATGAAAGATTTATTCCTCATAAACATACTAGTCCCGACATGGATGACCAATCTTTGGTTGGACCGAAAAAGATATTATTTAAGATGCACGTAAACTAGTCCAGACAACCCTGACCATTAAACCACAACAAAATAATAAAAAAGAACTATTGTACCTTTTTGTTCACATTTTGTTAAGGATGAACGATACCCACTTTGTTTTTTGTTCAGTCATTTAGCTTTGAATCTCCAAAATTTTCTTACACTTGAACTATAGAATTTTTGTTTGGTTCATGCTTTGACCCCTTTATATAATCCCGTTGAGGATAATTGAGAACTGTTTTACAAAAGTTAAGATACATTTCATGATGGAAACAATAGATATTGATATCATGAGGGGAAACAAACATCTGTTCTTAAAGTTACATCCGTTTTGAAAAAATTTAGTTCTGCTGAAACAAACATCTGTTCTTAAAGTCATATAGCATCAATACAATTAGTTCTACACAAGGTTGCAAGTAGGGTACATTTAGGTGCTCATTTTACTGCTTTTTGATTGCATCTTTTGGTAATGCATGATATCTTTCTTATCTACCTGCTCTTTGGAGCTCATCCATTAGTAGTTGTGCCACGGACTTGTATCCCATCTCCCGAGCTGTATATTCAATCCGAGCAAATAAAAAACCAATGATATGTTCTAACCAGCAGTAAAATAGAAGAATATAAAGTAAGACATGAAGCCAGGTCAAAATTACAGTTAAGGCTGTTAACTCAGACAAACCTCTGAATATGGCTATCCCAGTTGGAACCATCTTTCTCTTCTTCAGGCACAATGAACTGTGCAAAAAGGAATGCAAACACTGTATGAGATATTTAGCAAGTCCATGACCTAGTATTCTTTCCCAGTCAAAAATCATAGAAATCATATTCATTAGTATATGACAAAATATAAAGCTAAAGCACTTGAATTTATACCAACTCCAAAAATGGGCACAAATATGATGTATGTACCTGTTACATATCCAGTAAGGTTTGATTCCTTTATCTTCAATGCAATGCGGGCACATCCATTGTTCGTTTGATTTCACTTCCTCCATTTCTGGCAGAAAATTACATGAATCGATGCCCGAAGGTGACTGATCAAATAATACAACATAAATCAGGATTTCGAGGTTGTTAAAGAGCAGCTTTATCTTCTTCCCATACATCAGTGGACTATATATCACTTCCTTAAGTCCTTCAGCTTTCGCTTAGAGCATCTCCAACGCCCCTTGCTAGTGCAGCCTTTTAGCCATTTTAGCAAGCAAAATTCCAAATCGTGTGCTCCAACGCCCAGACTATCCAGCTCGCCAAAATCTAGAAAGCCAAATTGCTCGCCGCAATCCACTCGCCAGTTGCTGCCTTCCTTCTGAAAAACCCCCAATAAATTCTGAAAAACCCCCCAATAAATTCTGAAACCTCCCCCCAAATTTTGAAAACCCCCCCTCCCAAACAAATTCTGAAAACCCCCAATAAATTTTGAAACCCCTCAAATTTTGAATATTTACATTTAAACCCCTATCAAATATTAATGTAAATATTTGGAAAAATCTTAAATTTATGAGATGTATTGTGCAATTGATTTTTGTTATTTGAAGAAAATGGGTTTTAAATTGCCATTAAGTTGTATTATTTAAAGTTTAATTATAATTATTATTATTGTATGATTTTGTTGGGTTAATGATTATATATGCTTTGAATTGAATTTTTGAATTATATTATTGAAAATTAATTAAAGTTAGTTGAAATAGTCAGCTAATATAGAGAGCGTGGTTAGAGTGAATTTGAAAAAGTGAATAGCTAAAGTAGAGAATATAATATTTAAATATATTTTGAGTAGCTATTTTGGCGAGCAGAGTTGGAGTTGCTCTTACCTTCACCATACCTAATCTTGAGACAAGCTCGGCAGAGAACATCATTGCTAGAATGGCATATTGCACAATCTGTCTTTCCTGTATAGGAGAAGAGAAGATTGTAACTATTGAACACCATCTAAGTAATTTGCAAGAATGAAGAACGAATATCAAATTACAAGACTAACCAATGCATGGCTGATTTATATCCAGATCACCACATCGCTTGCACTCTTCTTCACCACACAGTGTCTTCTGCCTACAGTTTGCATTTCAATTGACAATAGTATCATTTTCAGTCTATTTTAATTCCATGAAAAGTATTGTACGCCTTCTAAACCAGAGACGATAAATCTCACCCCATCTAAATCAAAGTTTCAAGCACACCTCAATGAGTATGAAAATATAAACTTAACACATTGGCCACTTTTGATTTCTCAAGATCAAATTCCAAACCCGGTTGTCTGTAGTCCCCATCCCCAGTACCTTCTCCAAATTACGAAAATAAAAAAAAAGAAAAAAAAAAAGACACAAACGACTAGCTCTAGACAGTTAAAGAAGATCACAATAATCAAAGCTATCTGTCAAGTGACTCAATTCTCATTCTACAAATACAAGACTGAATGTACAGTATTTCCATTCCAGCTTTTATTATTCCCAATGTGCACCATGACTTACCAATTTGCATAATTTTTGTTCTTCATGATATGTAAACTCTGATGCATGAAGTCCATGGTACAAAAAGTTAATTGGAAAATGACCACAATCTTTACAACTAATAATCAGAAGCAATTTTTCTTATTTTATTTTGCTGCATTTTCTATTTACTTTCCAAAAATATCAAGATGAAAGCTGATGATGCACAAAAATGGTTTTGCACACCACCTGTCAAGTGTAAGTAATAAATGCAGTGAAATCAATGAGAAAATTAAAGAAGACACGATTTATAGTGGTTCGGTCAATTCGACCTACGTCCACTCTTCAATGGCTTCAGTTGCCGGGTATTTTATTAATTCAGCGGTATGGAGAATAGAGATACAAGCTTTGAGAGAATGGAGAATCAAAGAAGGAGTGGTCTCCGGTCGTCGTTCTGTCCTCTGTAAGTGTTGGTGGGGCGTGCCATTTTTTCTCTCTCGTCTCCTCACAGATTGGGGCTATTTTATAGCAGCTAAGAGATCATTCTTGTGGAGATCATGACTTATCCTCAAGGCTACTTTATCGCAGCTAAGAGATCATTCTGGTGGAGATCATGACTTATCCTCAAGGCTATTTTATCGCAGCTAAGAGATCATTCTGGTGGAGATCATGACTTATCCTCAACGGAAGGAGGAGGTTGGGGAGCTCTTCATGAAACGTAGTCAAAGCTTGGACCGTTTCCTTCGGTGGTGCAGATAAGCTTCTCATGCTCTCCTCTTGATGACGTGCTAAGCAAAAAGTCTAACCGGTCTTGGACTGTCTTGGGCTTGGTAGATTCAAAATGAGGTTGGGCTCCTCAACTGGAGTTGGACTTTAACACATAAATTGGACTATTTGGGCTTAACTCATCATTTGCCCCCCAATGCCCCATGTCCAATGAGACTTGGAGAAAGAGGCATTGACTATATTATTATTATTATTCTTTTTTTTTTTTTAACTTCAAGTCTTTTCCACTTTATTTTGAAGAGGACCCATAATATTCTATTTGACCTTTTTATTTTGAAAAGGACTTATAATTTTCTATTTGGCCACTTTATTTTGAAGAGGGCCCATAATTTTCTATTTGGGCTTTTTCCCTCTTTTTGAAAAATCCTAGACTATAAATATAGTCTTCTTCTTCATGTTACCCATTTCACTCATTTTTAAGGTTGAGCGCCCACCTCTTGAAAACCTTGAAAACTCAAGTCCTACCCATTTTGTTGAAGCCAAAGTGTGTTCTTCTTGAATCCTTTCAAGAGTGTGATTTCTTCCTTGCTAGTTGAGCTTCTCAAGTAAACAATGTCGATTGAAGAGGGAGTGGTGGAGGTTGAAGAAAGGAAGGAAGTAGGCACTATTTTGGAGAACTTGGAGGCTGGTTTTGAGCATTCGAATGCTGTTTTGGACAGCTTTGGGGCTGTAAATGAAGGGCTGGACAGCGAAGGGGAGATGGGCAGCGCGAGGAGTGGCTTGGGCAGCGAAGGAAAACGGCTGGGCGTGCGACTGGACAGCCCAGGCGCGCGGCTGCGCAGCGCAGGCGCGCAGCTGGGCAGCTTGCGTGCGCGCGGTGGGGGGCTGGGCGGCTGCCTGGGCTCTGCTCCTCCTGTCCTGGACAGCCCAAGCGCGCTGGGCAGCTGCCTATGCGCTGGCCTTGCTGTCCTGGACAGCCCAGGTGCGCTGGGCAGCAGCCTGGCTGCTGCTTCTGCTGTCCCGGACAGCTCAGCTGCGCTGGGCAGCTTCAGTTCTGCTGCGCTGGGCGGCTTTGGAACGCTGGGTAGCAGTATTTTTCCATCAAGGGGCGCTGAAAATCAGTTCAAGGTTCATCAGGGAGAGCTAGGCAGTGGCCTGGGAGCATGGGCTGATCCGATTCTCACTCGAGGCGCTGATTTGGGCCCCTTAGGTGCTGATTTTAGCGCCGAAAATTCTGCTTTGCGCAATTTTGAAGGGCCAGACACCCTTCAAGCTACTGGGCAACTTTGTTTTGACGAGCAACAGCAGTCAGGCACGCTTCCAGGTGTTGGGCTAGACATTGCAAATAGTAAGGAAGCTTTGGGTGCTGCTCTTGGTGATCAAGCCCCTATTGTAGCTCCCCCGATTCAAGTTCCTAAAGACTCTCCCAATGGTGATTTGGACTACTCCTTAAGGCCCCGGAAGAAGAAATGCAAGAGCAAAGTGGGACTTGATGATGACGGGTCTGAGCACCCTTTCTAGTTTATTCCGCTTAGATGAAGATATTTCAAGGCTTGTTTTTACTTATCGCATCCCTCCGACCGTGTTGTGCCGTCGGGCTGAGTTGGGCGAGCTTGCTTGCGACGACTCTTCCTGGGATATTATTGTCTACGAGGAGATGCTTGAGGCTGTGTTAAGATTTCCCATGTCCTCCCCCATTTGTCGTGTTTTGCATTACTTTTCCTTGACTCCGGGGCGACTAGCGCCCAACGGTTGGAGAATCCTGCTCGGTTTTCTTGTATTATGGAGAAAGGTGCACCACGAGGATGCTTCCCCTATGGAGTTTTATGCAGCATATAATTTGAGCGAAACCTCTACACCAAATAGGGGATGGTACTATTTTACCGCACGGAGTGGTACAGTGCTTACAGGAACGCGCTCTAATTGCGGTGGCTGAAAATCTTGTTTCTTCTTTATTGGTGGAGAATGGGCTTCAGAAGCCGACAGAGCTTTGGTGCCAACACTTTGGGGTGCTGCTAAAAAACCCGGTATGCTGCACACTTCTTCTTTTTCCTTTTTTTTTTTTATGCGTGTGTGCTCACTTTTTCCATGCAGATATACCTGTGCTTTCCCGGGACCAGGAGTGGAAATTGGAGGCTGTCAAAGCTTGCCCTTGTAAAGATTTGGGAGTTCTCCTGCCCAAGTATACTAGAGCTGTTGCTCCATCTCAGAAATCTGGCGGCTCCTCTTCGAAGAAAAGGGGTGAGCTAGTTTCCTCTCCTTCTTTTTTTTTTTATCTAACCCTTCTCTACTCTTGCAGCAAGTAAAAGGGTGGTGGTGTCCCGCTTTTCTAGCAGGAGCCCTCCTTCTTCCAAAGTGGCAAGGAGGGATGATGCCCCCCATGTGACTCCCACGGTGGCTCCTTCTCAACTGGCAACTTCTCCAGCTGCTACTCCAGAATCTTCCTTGCCAGGCACATCTGTTCCACCTTTATCCTCTCCTCGTGCTACCCCTCCTTTGTCTCCTCCTTGTTCAGGAACTTCTACCCGAGTGCCGATTTGGGCTGGTCCTATGATGGGGAGACCGGCAGCTATCAGGGCAAGGCTTGGCAGGTTTGTGTTTGGGCCAGAAGTTTCTGAGCTTAGCGCTTCGGGCACTGATAATATCGTCAACACGTATTTGGAAGGTCTGGCTCAGGTAAGGGTCTGTTATTTCCTTTTCTCCAGTCGTTTCCTGTGTTTTTGACTTTTCTTAATCTCTTGTCTCTTTTTTTTTTTAAGGTTTCGACTTCCTCCATCTGCTTGCTTTCGAGGGCCTATAATCAAGACAAACTGAAGCTGGATCTTAGCCTTGTGCAGAGGGAGCTCATTACCGCTCAGGAGAGGATTGTCGAGCTTGATTCTGAGCTTTTGGTGACCCGTGAGAGGGACGTGCTCCGGGAGGGTGAACTTGTGGCAGCTCATGAAAAAGCTTCT